GTGTGTGAGTGTGTGTGTGTGTGTGTGTGTGTGTGTGTGTGTGTGTGTGTGTGTGTGTGTGTGTGTGTGTGTGTGTGTGTTGGAAACACAAATACAATATTTTATTTATATATAAAACCCTCGAGATCTTTCCGGGAGAAAAGGTGGAAAGTTTGCGCTCCTCGTTCCTTGCCTTTTTTAATCCGATTTAGCGTGTCCCGTTCCTCGTCCTGTAGAAGGAATTTTTCCTGCGCCAAGATTGCTCGCTCATTGATTCAATTAATGGACATATACGGACGTGTGGGGCGGGTCAACGTTTAAATAAAATAAATCGTAATCTTGTAATTCTCTTTCGCGCATACGTTTTACTTGACGAGCCCCCAAAAGCGAACAGTTGAATAAAAAAAAAAAATAAATAAATAAATAAATAAATAAATACGATAATTATCGAAAAACAGTCCGATGGGCAAAGATAATCATCAGGGCTGATTCAACGATGCGAATTAAACGCTTGATCCGAAACGGTTCGCAATCGGGTCAAGTTGCATGCACTTGCAGTTTTGCCTTCGCGAGTGCATCGATTAAATTTAAACGCGCGTGCTTCGGTCAGGTGGCTAGTGCTTTCGGACGAGTGCAAAGTAAGCAAGCAGTTAAAAAAGAATCTTATCTAAAGCGGAATAGCTAATGCTCTAGTGATGTGCCGATTAGGCAGTGCAATAAAATCGAAGGAAAATACAAATATTTTTTATCTCGATATGCTCTACACTAACAAAAGCGAATGGAATTTTATAAATATACTAACGTCAAAGAGACGAAAAGACTACATTTTTTTTTAATTATTCAAAACTATTTGATAAAGAATTAAAGTGATAACTGTGATATAAAACCACGCTTCGGTGGAACAAGATGATTTATTTTTCAGTAAAAAAATTTTAATCTACATTCAGCAAAATTTTTACAACGTTTAAAATTCAAGATTTTTGCTTCTATCATAACTGCGTTTTCTAATGTACAATAAAAAAGGACGCAAAACAATAATGTAATTTATATGTTATTATTAAACAATTAACTAATATCGAGAAACTTGCCGTGCAACACGATCTATGATTATAATATTTTAATTACTGATTCCAAATATGTTCGAATAAATTATGTGAGAAACTTTATGTGCAATTCAGTAGCAATAGCATGCACGGAAAAAATAGTTTGATTGGCTGGATCAAAATTCTGTTCCAAAATAAACTGAATTAAAAATTCCAATCGAAATGGTCAGATTTCTGTTTAAATTAACCGCAAATCTGATTAAACTCTGATCAATTCAACCAAAATTTGTAATTCATTCATTTTGAAACAATACCTTGGTCACAGCCAATCAAACTATTTTTTTTCTGCGTATAAATAAATAAAAGAAAAGCAAGAAAAAAAAACGGAGAAAAAGAAAAGAAAAAAAAGAATAATAATGAGAAACACGTCGGGTTTTATGCATTGTGTAAAGGTATAATTCGTATGTCTTTTTTTTTATTTTATTTTACTTTCAATTTACCTGCAACGTATACTGTCCGTGAGGCTGCCCATGATGATGATGCCTCTGATAATGTTGCTGTTGGTGTTGCGGGTCGTGCTGATAACACTCCTGCTGGTATTGCTGCGATGGGACGGGTTTCAAAACGTGATTGGCTCGCTTCTCCGGAACGAACTGCTGACTCGTACGATCCATCGTATCCACTGCCAAGCGTGGATCCTCTATCATAGCGTTGGAAGCCTTTGTACTGCGTGGAAACGACGGATATCATCCTGGTTTCGTTTCATTAGATGCTTTGTGTATTCTACGCGAT